TCTTCCTTTTTTTTTTTTTTTCTCCTCCCTTTTGTCTTTTGCTAAGCCACTACTGACTTACTTAAAAACTTACACAAGTTGATCATTACAACTGCATTCATGCCTATGGCCAGGAAAAATAAATAAGAGGAGTTAGCAGTATGCTTTGTCCACGTATACACAAGAACACATAGAAAAAGAAAACCCCCAATCACTTGCTGAAATTCCCTACATCAGTAGTTTGAGTGGATAAGTGTTTACATATTTGTCTTAATTGGGTAATAATGACTTCAAAATATAATGTTCAAGATTTTCTAGCAGAGTTTGGTTTTGTTTTTCTCCATCAATTTTGAACTTAAATGGCAAATATCAAAGTTCAAACAGAAGAGCAGTTAACACACATAAACTGGCTGAGAACTGCAGCTGCTCAAAGATAAAGATAACATCCCTTCCAGCAGCAGATGCACATCTGCCAGAGAAAACTCCATGTAGGTTAAATTCTTCTGTCTTTTGCATATCCTTCTACATTGGATGAAAGCAAAATAATAACCAACAGCTCTGCATATTCAAAGGCCTCAAGTGACTTCAGTTCCAAAACTGCTGACAGCAAATCCAGCACCATTAACTCTGGGAAGCCACATCTTAAAGTGTTTTGGTGCTCACTACCTGCAATACATCATCCTCCAATTTGCAACAGAAATCTGCATCCAGTAGCTGCTTCCCTTACCCTCTGCAAAGCTGATAGTTATCGCAGAGGTAACACATCCCAGTTCAGTGTCAGCATGGGTCACGGATGGCTCACAATGTTCTTCATGCACTGCTGAAGGCCTCACATTCAATGTTTTAACACTGTGCTCCTCTGTGCCCAGAGGCTCATACACAGTAGACGTGAGGGCCCAAAAGTCTTACAGAGGCATTTCACAGTGCACAAGACATGAAAAATTGAAATCCTTATGGAGATGCTTACTCATTTCAGAAGACAAACTCTTTTCCACGTAAGGAAAAGCCTTCCTGCATACATAGTGGACATCTTTGTGCTCACATAAGCACACTCTTTGTTCCCTACCAGCACTTTTCTCACAAGCCACCACCAAAACCTGACATTCCTCACAGGGCACAGAGAATTACTGCTTTTATCTTTCAGTCCAGAGTGAGATTTTCGGCACTGCATTCTGGCGATACAGTTATCTTGATTAAATATCTGACCTCTACATGTCTCTCTCTCCTCCCATTCTGATCCACGCTACTTGTGCTTTTTCCAGTTCAGGTCCCTTGAGAAGAAAAAAATAAAAGCAACATGGGCCCATCGTGGAGTTTCTTTCTCACCTCCCATACCCTTTACACTAGTATTTCCAGATGTTGGGACATGGGGTGTTCATCTTGTTTCCTCAGCCATTTCAAGGTTTATTGACTGTTTAGGAGATGAAAGTTGCACAGCAGGCTCTTGGAGTTGAAAGCTGTTTGTTTATCCTTTGATCAAAACCAAATATTTTTCTACCAGGTAGAATGTATGGTGAGGTGAGGTCTTTGAGCTTTCCCTGCAGCAGCACACATACCTAGCTCAGTTCTTACTCTGGCCCTATGTAACAGGAAGATCAAGCAGCTCCCAGACAGTATTTTTCCAGCTAAGGAGAGCACCACTGTCCTTCAAGTCAGTCTCAAACCTAAGGAAGGCCTAAAATGGGATTCCTCTGCCTTAATTTTTGTGTCTAAAAGTATTAAAGCAGAACTTGTCACACCTGGCTTCCTACTCATGTAATTTGCCACCCTTGTTTCCCTGCAACACTTTGGGCCACCTCTCTCCAGTTACATGAAAGCATTTGGAGAACAGGCAGTTCTGGGGAGCAGCACTCTGGAAAACTTTAAAAGGTTGAAGCTCCTGAAGGCTGTTCAATGCTACTTTGAAGTCTCAGTAAAGGAACTGAAGAGGCCTGGGGCTGTATGGACTTTGTTAATACTTCCTGGGTCCTCCATCATGACAGTCAGAGGGAGAAGCAATGGCCACCAATAGGCAGAAGTTCTGAGTATAGGAACCATTCATACCAAAGAGCTGATATTATTCTTCATGTGACAAAAATCACGTTTGCTTTGGGGCTACATGCTCAGAGTGCAGAAGTTAGATTAGTTTGGCATTTGCAAACCTCAAAAAATTATGGAGCTGTGCAACACTGACATGATAACTTCTCTTTGACTGGTATGATTTGATGGTAATGAAGCATGTGGTAAATAAGGTAATAAGGTTTTATATTTACTTATATTTAAAGTCTTTTGCTAACACCAGATTTTGTGTTGCCTGCACAACAACAGTGAGAAAACATTTCCTTTAGCAAGACTGATTCTCCATTTGGAGTACCAGTTTTTGTCTGTGAGCCAGGAAGGCACCATTACAAACAATATCCAGAAGTTTAGACATTATAAACCAAATAATCTGATCTCAGTGATTTGAGTAATTTGGATTTTTAAAACCTTTCTGGTCTATTCAGCAGTTGTAATCAAATGGCTAGTTTCATGGATCTAACTAAAATGATAACATTTATTATTGCCAGGACTAATGTTTGCTACATGAGTATTCAGGCAGTTTGTAGGCTATCTAAACTACTCCCAAAGATAATATATTTATTCTTGTGTTGGTCAAGTTAAAAATGCAAGTGGTTAATCAGTTGTATAATTCACATTTCCCTTGCAAATATACATTATATATAGTATCTGCCAAATACTCCCAAAAAGGCAAAAATTTGTGTTTTGAATTGAGCAATAACTGTAAGACCTTCAGGTAGCTCCATGCCACATAAGCAAGCTACAGTATGTTTATGCTACTAAAAGATCCATTTCAGCGTGTGCTTAAGACAGAGTATTGGAGCTTAAGAAGTGATTCATCTCAAATTAATCCTACTATCTCATGCCATCTTCTATTTTGGAAACAAAGCAAATCTGGGATAAAACGTGCATCTCTATACTGGCTGGTGGCATCTCAAGGAACTGTTGAGATGAACACCCCACATCTTGAAGCAAGACTTGGCATGCTGGAAGGGCAATTTCATCGAATCATAGAATGGTTTGGGTTGGAAGAGACCTTTAAGATCACCTGGCTCCAACCCTCTTCCTATAGGCAGGGACACCTCCCTCTAGACCAGGTTGCTCAAAGCCACATCCAGCCTGGCCTTGAATGCTTCCACAGGGGGGGGACATCCACAACCTCACTGGACAACCTGTCCCAGTGTTTCACCACACTCACAGTAAAGAATCTCTTCCTAATATCTAGTCTATATCTACCCTCTTTCAGTTTAAAGCCATTTCCCCTTGTCTTGTCACTACATGCCCTTACAAAAAGTCCCTCCCCAGCTTTCCCGTAGTACCCCTTCAGGTACTGGAAGGTTGCTATAAAGTCCCCCTGGAACCTTCTCTTTGCTAGGCTCTCAGTCTGTTTGTTTGCCAAGTTTCACTGATCACCTGTTGATCAAGTCAGTCTGCAGAGCTCAGTACCATCAGTGTTGGGTACGATCAGCAGCGATAGCACTGTTAGGCTCTTGGCTGGAAGTGGGTGTGACTATATACTCATTGACAGAGCAGCCAGCCTGCATAGGCATGCAGAAGATGTGTCTGCATCCTTTCCTCTTATCCCAAGCCCTCATCTCCCACTGAGACTCTTAGCCTTGTGTTTCTACTTAGCTCTCCACCTTCCTCCCACTTCTCACACCAGGGTCCTCCCCAGCACCCTTGCCTTGCCTCCTAGGACAGACCTTATCTCAACAGAACCACACTCCCTCTGGCCTTGCCACTCCTGTCTCTGGGGCAGAAGCACATGTTTTAGGACCAAGTGGGGTCCTGCAGCCAGGCAGGGAGAGGTGACAGACAGCTGAGCAGCCACAAGGCATACACGTGGGTTGGAGAATGCCTCCTCCTGGACTACCACCCTAGGATTCTCTGCAATATGATATGTATAATCCAAGCTCCTGCACTTTAGGAAAAATAATAGATGTTAATAACCCATCCTCCTCCTTTAAAGTGGCGTGCAGGTTACCAACCATACACAGTTCAGCAGCATCTGAACTAACTAATTGCTATTTCTGTACATAAATAAATGTTCAGGGGGCTTTGTGTCATCCACTGCTTTCAAAACAAGTAGGCAAAGTGCTGCAATTCCTTTTCATGGCAAAGATTTTAATGGGCTTTTCTTTTTACATGTAGCAGGTTTCTCTGGCAGACAGCTTGTTTTTGTCTTTTATATATATATATATGTATGAAATTATTATTATTATTATTATTCTCCTGATCTACTCCAGTTTCTCTGAGGGAGTGCCCAACTCATTTGCTCTTTCAGAGGGAACTTTATTTTTCCTTTTCTTTTTCTCAATTTCTTAATGCTTCAAAGGAGAAAGCAGTCTTCTTGGGGAGCTACATCTGCATTAGAGTGCTATTGCAGGCTGTCTTTCCTCTTCTTGGCCTGAGGATGTCAGCTATCGCACACATGAATAGGAACTGCCAGGATGTCATATACACTTACATACATCTTTTTTCAATCAGCAAACTACAGGTTATTTTGTCAATGAAATCCACAGATTTAGCTCTCCTATCAGTGCTGACTGTCACACTCCAGCATCAGTCCCTGTGTCACCCGGAAACCAAAGGATGTAAAAATGTGTGATGCATTTTTATTGACATCTGTGAATTTTTCCATGTTTTCTTCGTAGTTGAACTAAAGCTGAATTTAAAAAATTGCAGTTTTGTGGTGTCCTACTTGGTTAAATAACCATAATAAGTCCTGCATGGGATGTCTTAATAGATGAAAGCTGGAGCATAACTGAACAATAGCAGGTCCTAAAATCAAAGGTTCTGATCTCTCCCCAAATGTTCAGCATTTGCTTCCTTAGTTGGCAAGGCTAGTTGGAAGCAGAAATTGCTTTACTGGAGACTGAGTTATTGTTTGAACATAATAATCATTGCTGAAAGACTTCATACTGAGCTTCCAGATGATCCAAGTCAAAACCAGATGAAATGCAGAGAAATTGATGAGCACTTACATTCTTTGGTGTTAGGAGGTGCCAACAAGCATGAGTAGCAAACCATTCCATATATGTTTCGAGGTCTGTTTTCCAGCATGTAGTAACTGAAATGAAGGGCAAGATGAGGCAAAACAGTGTAAATTAATATACTGCATCCAAGCATGGTTCATCAGCAGACAATTATACTGAGATAAAATCATTTTAAAAAAAACACTTTTATAAGCAATTTGATGCAAAGATAATTATTTTTTTTAAACTGCCTGAATAGAGACAGTGTTTCTCCTCTTCCTTTTACCCCTAAGAGGCAATTAATCAAGCATCAAGCGTGCACGACAAGAAGGTATCATTGCCTAAAACAACATTATTCTCCTTGCTGTGTTCAAGCTGTAGCATACAGCATACCCTGAAATAAGACTTTTCAGAATAAGAGAACATTATTTTTGAAGCAGGGGTCACTCAGGCAAGACCATCAGTTAGATATGGTTGTCTGATTTTCTTCTCAAGCATTATAAGAATAATCTCAGCAACAGAACCAAATCTAAATAGCAAATGCAGGAAAACACTACCCTTACAGGGACAGATTAGGATTTACAACCATTTGTGTTTTTTTGAAGTTCCCTTGACCGTGGAGTTACAGCATGATGAAAAACTTTTCATGATTTGAACTGGGCAGCCACTGAAGTTAGTCTTGGCAACTGGTTCTACAAGAATTGGATCCACATACAATCTAATGAGTAAAATACATCCAAATCATACACAGTGGATATGCTTCTACAGATGCTAAATTTTAGTGAAGAAATGAATAGTCATAGTCTATTCTATATTGATAGGAACTCAACGTCATAAACACTAAGTAAGGATCTTCTGCTCTTATGCTGTCTATGTATGTGCAGAATGTTTTGGGTTTTTTTTTTTCCTGGAAAATTTATACATCAGAAAGTTACTGCTGAAACCGTCCATCAAAATCGGTTGGTCATTAATGAATGACCCAGCCTATAAATAGTATATACAGGTACAGGAAATTAAGCACATTGAGTCACAGGATGGAGGATGGTGCTTGGAGATAACTAAAGGAACACATACACTGAACACAGTTCCTCTTTTTGTTGTTGTTGTTTTTAATTTGCTGGCATTAAAAGATTCACTCTTACTCTCCCCTTTGGCTCATGTGCTCTATCTGCCACTCTGCCATTCTCTCAAGAGAAGATCATTATCTTTTGTCTTTTATGGGGGGCTGCAAAGCAGTTAATAAATAAGCAGTAAATGGTTGCCCAACCACAAAAAAAAAAAAATAAAATAAAATAAGAGGAGCAGACCAAAGATACATATAAATCTATAAAGAAAAATACAGGAACAGTCAGGATCTACAACCTAATAGCCACAGTGGTTTAGGGAAGATATACAGCCCTTCTGACAGTTAATTAAAACAAGCTGGTGGAATATTTCTTGGTTTTCACCACAATGCAGAGCGTTGGAGGACAGGCAAAGAAAACTGAAGAGGATGTTCATGGGCAAGGAACTGTTCTCATATGTGAATAGGAAGCTCTACAATTGCAAATATTAATGGCTTTCTCTGAATTACTGGCAACAGACAAGTTTCTGGCTATGCACTAATATTTAAAGCAATGCTGGAAGTGTCTGATTGCTTTATATTACTAACTATAGAAAACAAGTGGACCAATAACAAAATCACTAATTTTCATGGTGCTATTCTTCACTACAAAACCTATTATTACTCTTTCCTTAGCACTTTTTAGGTTATTTTGAAGTGTTAGAGGGAAGATGCAGAAGTGAAGGCTGAAATGAAAAATGAATGTGTTCTCCTGCTTAACAACACGGTATTTTAACTTGGACTGATCTTAGTGGTGCCATGTCAAACTTGGTGACTTGATCCAAGAAGAAGAATCTACAGCATCATGTTTAGGTCTTCCTCCTGCAAGTACCAGCACACCTGGGAACAAGATAGTAGGACAATCTGCAGAAAGTAAAGGGGAGGTGGCAAGCACATAGGTGGAAGCATGAGCTGCCTTACCCAGAACTGCAGGGAGGGCTTTTATTTCATTAGAAATTCACTGGCTAAAGACCTAACAGGTCACTCCATTGAGGGAGGGGAATCCAAGTTGTAACTCATTCCCTCATTCTTTACACTATTTGTCATGCTTGAAGTGCTTTGGGATAGGAGCATAAGCGGAAGCCTGCAGTGTCCCAGGAGGTTGAGTCTAAGTACCTCCAGAGATCTGAACTTTGGTTTTGAAGACTATGGCTTTGGAATTAAGCCTTTACATTCTCCCTGTGTGCTCATCTTTTCCTTAGGCTGCTTTACTCAGCTGATGACAAATAGCAAAGGGATGAGATGCCCACAGACAGAGACTGCAGTATAAGGGATGTTATGTGAAGAAAGCCTGCAGCATGTTACAGAAGCACAGTCCTCTTAAAATGCAGACCTTAATTTTTCACTGCCTGTGTCTTAGAGGCTCTTGGAGCACCAGAGCCCAGGTGAGGGAGCACTCTGCTCACTGCCACTCATCCAGCTTAGCTTTCCCTCTGCCACTGGGGCAGTGGCAAAGAATGGCCAGGCAGTAGTGCCTACCAGCTCTTATGCTCTGTGTTTCCTTGTTGTGACACAGATGGAACTTCTGGGCTGTCCAGGTTGATCAAGGCTCCAGGCCATGTTTCAGCCCATATTTAATTTATCTTCATAATTTCATCTCTTTGAACTCAGAGTGAGTCTTTGTTTCTCCTTAACTGCTGTAACCTACTACACCATCCCAGGAGCTGCACACAGCCAGACTCCAGCCCAATTTCTGCTACAGGTTACACCTGTGCAAACACAATGTTTTCAGATCACTCCCCAAGTACCAGCTGTGCAAGCTGATTATTTTCAGCCAGCACCCCACTCCCACCTGGGTGACCTCATTAGTTCTGACAAAACTGCAAAACAGCAACTGTGGCCACTATTTAACTTTTTTGTTCTTTATGATGTATGAGGGGAAGTTGAGACGGAGTTCTTTTAAAATCACATCATCAGTTTGCTTGGCTGGCAGTTAGACGAGTCCTTCTTTTTATTTGTAAACTGTGAAAACTTCATACAGACTTGCTGATATAATAAACCTGGAGTCTTGTAGGGCCTCTCTAGCAGTTTCCTTTGCTGAGGCTATGCTGTGTCTGCAAACAGTACAAAAGAAAACGCTGGGAGGAGGTACACCTCTAAGCTGAAGTTGCATACAGGCAGAAATTCAGAAGTAAGGTGAGTTTGTATTATAGGGTATTAACTTGTTTAAAAAGAAAAATGTTGCAAAGGTAAATTCATCTTTGGGTTTGCAGACTTTAAAAGGAAATATAATCAATAATATTTTAGTAGCATATCTGATGTAACAAACTGTTTTCTCATAATTACTATCAAAATTATACTGAGCTTAATGGGCCATTGAAAAGATGGACTTAATAAAACAGCATCTATTTTAGTTCCTTCAGTGAGCCTTGGAACTTGTTTTTACTCTGTATAACAGCACACAGACCACATTGGCAGCTCCGTAGACCCCTTTCTCTCTGCTGATTAACCATGATCCTGAGAGACTAACATTGCCTTGGTGAACCTCCTCCTAACAGCTATGTGAGCTAATGCTGTCAGCTGCTGACAAATTGGCCAGCTGGTCATGTTTGGAGAGGAGATATTTTATGTTTCGAAGCACTGACTTCCAGTGCCAACGTGGAGCCTACAGGGAATGCAAGGCATCTTCATGGAGCTCGTTTGTAGGATGCAGAATCTATAATGTGGCTTCTGATGTGCTGTTGGAGGCCAAGCTGGACTTCTTGAACACACCTATACTACATAAGATACTCCCTTTCTGTTTCTAGTAAGAGAAGTTTCAGTTTTTCCTAGTTTTTCTTTTTTCCCTGATGTTTGTTGCTTCAATTGGTGAGATTACGGTAAGAACGGTGACATGCCCTGATTTACTAGATTCACAAATACTTTTGAAATATTTAAGCTTATTGTTTTAACAGGTATTATTCACCGATGTTGTACCTACAGTCAGCTAGGACATGAAGAGAAGCTATCAGAGATTTTAATATTAAAGGAGTATTTTGCAGCTCTTTGGACAGAGCAAAGGTTGAATCCTTACCCTGGGAGACAAGGCCCGCACTCTGCATCATTCTCTTGATCTCCTGGTGTCAGGACAGTGGCTCGAAAAAATCCCTCGCAGTCTTTGTGCCTTCTGCATATCTGGTAACCTCCTCTGGAAAACTTCTCTGACGGGCAGGGGATGCAGCCATAGTCCTCATCTTTGGTGCCATACCCACACGTCTGCAACAATACGAAGTCATTAGAAAACAGGCTTGTGCTGTACAATGGCTCGTAGGAAAAGGGAATGTAATATCTGGCATGATGCAGCATTAAGTTCTTTAATATCTGCCCTAAGAAGGTCGGGGAGGTATATAAGGATGTAATACACTGTGTCCTGGAGAGGGAAGAAGAAAGCTGGAGCATCGTACTCCTTAAAAGTGACCACTTAGGGCTATTTAAATCATGCTGTAGTCTTGGAAGTGAATTTCAGCTGCTGTTCACATAAAAAGCAATCTGTAATTGGAGAGCAAACGAAAAAATTACAGGGGAAGCAGTTTCAGCAGGGATATTGGTGATCCTGCTTTCATGACAGATAAGGCCACAAGGACCACTAGAAAAAGCAAGGTTTGCATGAGGTTTGGTAACCTCTGAGCTCACATGTCCTGGAACACCGTGTTTAGATTAAATAAAACTGGTATGAAGTGGTTATTATTCAAACATCCTTGATCAGGACTACCAACTGTGTGAAATTCTTGCAGTGGGATGTTTATCCCATTAAAACCAAACAGGATTTCAGTAATTTATTTTTTAATATTCAACAATTATCTGCTGTAAATCAAACGGTTACTTAGGAACCATAATTTAAAACGTGGCAGAAGCTTCCAAGTTCCTCTAGTGCCAAAATATCTTAGCGGGAGAGCAAAATTAAATTCTCTGTGTGGGGGCCAGCGAGCATGCCAGAGTAACCTATTTATCACAATGCTAGAACGGCACTGTCAGATTTTAAATAGCTGTTGAGATGAGAATGTACTGGCAGAGAATGTGTGTGAAACTTTTATGTTACAACGCTTTAAAATCTATGAGTTTTAACAGACAGGGCCTGGGATGTGGCTTATGGATGAATATGGGTGCATGGGGCCGTGCTCCCACAGCAACTTTGTACACGAGTGCTCCCACATTAGGAAGGTGTGGCCTCAGTGGTACATTGCTCAAGAATCTATTTCTTTCTTCATTTTCTCTCATATCAAAGCATCACCACTACATAACAGAGCATTTGTTTTTAGGCAGGACTAATTGCATTTTCCATCTTAAAACTTCCCACCAGCTTGCTAAGTATGGGAGTGTCTTGTGTTGCAGACCAAGTGCATCCTGAGTCCTCTTGGCCATCCCACAAAAGTCACATCTGGAGCTCAACGCATGTCCCCCAACCAGCAGAATGGATTGAGATGCTAAAGTTACCATGTACGGTTCTTCACCCGGCTCGCATTTGGGGCAGTCGTGGCACATGCCGGTGGTTTGGTTGTAGTATTCATTCTCACCGCAGTTGGAGTATTCAGCGCTGGCAGAGTACACCAAGGAAACCTGCACCAGAGACACTGGGGTTTTACTGTCAGTGCCACCACCTCCCTTCCACACCCCTTGTTCCCACCCCTTGTTCAGCCATTATGGTGGGGGCTGCCATTGTACCATAAAACACCCCTTGTCCAGCCATTATGGTGGGGGCTGCCATTGTACCATAAAACACCCCTTGTCCAGCCATTATGGTGGGGGCTGCCATTGTATCATAAAACACCCCTTGTCCAGCCATTATGGTGGGGGCTGCCACTGTACCACAAAACATCCCTAAAGCTATCTGGGATGGTGGAGATCATGGATTTCATATTGGTGCCTATTATCACAGCTGCTCCTTAAAATATTGAAAGATGTGGTTCCCAATCTGATAATTCTCCTGTTTCCTAGCACAGCAAATGCATGAGTTTACACCCTTACTCCTCACAATATTAATGAGCGTTCAAGAATATAACTGCAAAGGACAACTATAACCTGAAATAATGAGCTGCCTCAATCACAGCACAGCTGTGTTTCACATGACACATCAGCCAGGTGGGCTGGAGCATGTCCTCTCTATTTCTGCTCCATTTTAGGTCCTTCTCCTCCACCCTCCTCCTGAGTGACCTCTCCCATATTAGGAAATAGACATTTAGACAGATGTTCCAGTCTAAGCAGCACTGAAGGAGATGCTTGAGTGCTACTTAGATTGGAAACCGATCATTGCTTCGAAGTCCAGAGCTCAGACACCTGTAAATGTGACATGGCAATTCATAGACATTTGCAAAGACTCAAATGGCCCCTGCTGGAAATAGCCCCCATGCATTGGAAATACCTATAAGCACGTAGATACCTACCACCAGAAAAGGGAACACGTGAGTCCATTTACATTCTCCCAGGTGAGCCATGTTCTCTTGATATTTTACCTAGAAAGATAGAATTGGTGATTGTTTATGAATAATAGCAAATATGTGTGCGTGTTGACAAAATAAGAACAGTAGGGCTCATCATCAGAACACAGGTTATATGGGAGCAATGCCCAGAGTTACACACAGATCTAAACAAAAAAGGGAGAGATGTGCACGTGTGCTCCCACACGCACTGCCTTTCTGACAAAGCATGAAGCAGCCTGGCCTTGCAACCTGCATAAAAATCGGTCAAAGATGAAGAGTGAGCTATGAACCCTTGGCACTTCTTGGGCTTAATGAGAAATCCTCCTGTGGAGAAACCGAGAGCTGCATTCTGACCGCAAAACAAAAGAGAGCTAGGGGGCAGTAGATAACCCTGGATTGTGCCCTTGAGCCCACTAGATCAGGTTTGTCTAGGAAAGGTCCAGATGAAGCGTCAAAAAGGAGAGCCAAGGAGTGAAATGAGGGCCGTCAGCACAGATAGATGCCTCTCCAGGGCTACACCTTCATCGCCGGCACCCATGGACCTGCAGGGAAAGCCCAGAGCAGCCTTCAGCAGCAAGCCTTGGCTATGTTTCATTCCTGACAGGGAGGCTGTTGATGTAAGAGGTTAAGCTCAAGGAAGAAGCTGAACTCTGTATTTTAAGTGCTATTACAAAGGCTGGAGGAAAATAAAGGCTGTGATCTCTTGTAAACACATGTGCTAATTTATTTCATTTCTTCAAATTCAGTTCTATGAATAACTTTGAATAAGAGCAAATGTTACATATTCATGTACTGGATTTCTTTCTAAGGGATAAAATGAGACAGGAAAAAGAGGCACAAATTGTTTTGTATGATACAACATATTAAATGGTATTGTTAGAGTACATAATATGCCTTAGGGATTTTACGGCTTCATATTGCAAATGTTTGCAGCACTTAGGTCCTCATAGATATGAGCTGCTCTTTAAATTTTGCCGGTCTCAGATGCTGCAAAGTTTTAAGCTCTCAGAAGAAGAGTACAATTACTCTTTGTGCCACACTTAAGCATATGATCTATGTTAGAGCAGCACTTCAGTGTTCAAGATAGCCACTAACATTTACATTTTTAAACACTAAATGGATTAAGTAGACTCGCATCACGCCAGCATCAAGCTAGGAACTTGCTTTCTATGCTCCTTCTAGCAATTGGGCTAGCTGAGACAGGTAACCGGGTGGGTGGGTGGACAAAGTGAGTTATGAGTATATTTCTTTCTGCAGGAAATTGCGCTTTGAAACCTAGAAACAAAAGAGAATCGGAGATAAACTGTCCTAAATCTGGAGGTGAGAGATAGAAAACAGTTCATGCCATGGCATGAACTGTCAAACACTTAAGTTGGACAAAGGCTTTGGCTATGACAGTACAGTTACTTGGAAAAGTTCCAGGGACATAATCTTCACACACACGTCTGTTAAACTGAATCCTAATTATAAAACAGCTTGTTCAACTTCAGCTATGAATATTATCAAGGCTGTTTCCACAGTGGTATTGCAAAGTCATCACATTTATTATAAATTGGGTATGGACCCAAATTTTCACTAGTGAAGTCTGAATATTTAACTTTACACTAGAAACATGTTTTACCACAAAAACATGCTTCACTGGCTTTCGAGGCACCCAGATGTTTACTGTTTGGGGTACTTATATGCAATCACAGCCAGATTTGAAAAATGGAAATGAAGAAGTCTTGCCTATTAATGTATAATACAGTCTTCTCCATCCATTTGGTATTTATTTACACAAAATGTTGGAAGTGTCAAGTTATACGTACATACATACAATATTTTTCTCTTTCAATATAAATATACATGTCGGGGTACGTTTTGTGTGTAAACATACATTTTTTCCTTGCATTCTATTATACGTAGCAATACGTCAAGCATATGGCAAATAGTTTTTAACTGTAAAAAATGCAACAATTCGAAGTGCTGAATATGGCCAGATATGAACACAAGGGGAGATTTCTTTTCCTCGTATTGGAAAAACAAAATGTTTAATTATTCACCCCCGTTTTCAAGTATGCTGCCATAAACTGGCAATGTTACTTTCTAATTTGTGAGCATGTGTGTGGTTTTCTATTTATTTTGTTATTCCTTTCAAAGATAAAAATCAAAATACGTACTTTATTTTCATAGTGCAGAGGAGTGGGGATGTAGGAGGTTTCTGGCAGTTGGGATGTAAGTAGCTCCTCAGTTGGAATGATACCTGCTGGTGTCTACCAAGACATGCTAGGCTGCACCTAGGCTCACTTTCAATTTTCAAACATTTTAATTTACACCCATGCTATATAAGCTATCACACATTAATCTTGTCTGCAGAACAAGGGATTTTCTAAGGCTAAGATCACTTTCGTTTCTAACTGACATATGTGGAAACATGCCGAGCTTGGACAGTCAGCCTGTGTCTGCCAAGAAGCAGGGAAAAAGTATCCAGTTATTATGGGCCCTAACCATTAAGAACAATTAGCTGTGAGGAATGCTTGAACAAATTCACAGGTGGTTCCACTCCCCCTCATATTCCCAGGTACTCACTGCTCCTGGGAGGCCTCCAGGGGCCAAATGAGGAGCCCAGGGCCTCAAGGGAGAGGGTGGAGGGAAACACCGGGTTACACAAATTTGGCTTCCAAGACAGATTTTCAAATGAACAAAACAGAAATCAGGCATTCAGGATGTGTCTGCTATCTCATACTGAGAGCCACAGCACTAGCCTTGGACACTGCTCCACAGCAAACCAAAGGCTGTCCCTGTGGCACAGGGCACGCTAAGGCACTTCTTAGTTCAGGAGATGAAGAGCAGATCATGCATCTATGTAGAGCTATGCTGCTCTATAAAAGTCTTTATCTATGAACATTTGGTAGGCAAAGCTGAAGTTTGGGGCCACTGCTGATTTTCTTCATTGTTGGTACTGAAGCATGTGTAGGAAATCCAGATTAAAACATGTACTGGTGAACAGAAATCATTTTGAAAATCCTTTCTGCCCCTCCACCACACATGATTTTTGGGAAAGCTTCATGGTGGTTTTGTCCTACAAATCCAGTCCTTCTTCAAGTGCATGTAAATATCAGCTGCAGCAATGCATCAGCTGAAGAATTATCATCAGCTGAAGAACGCTTCATTATAAAAATGAAGAATTAACCAGTGTGGAGTAATGTCAGTCTGCCTGTTTTGACTAATACACAAATGACGGTCCCATAGGATGGCAGGCAGTCATCAGCAGGAAGGAGCTGGAAGTGTATTTTTAGAGGGATCACACAATGGCTCCTATGCAACATGGGATTTCCAGCAGCTCATCCAGCGAGTCCTCCGCACATCCTGACTCATGCCTCAGCTGAGGACAGGCGGGTGTCTGGAGAGGAGGTGTAAAATACAGGCTCAGGTCTTTGCAGATCAGGTGTGCAACAGAGCAAGTCTCAGCCTGACTAGAGGGGGTTGCTAATTACAGCCATATTTGCCTTTCAGGGCATATTCGTTAATAACTGTTAGGAATACGCACAGAGGCTGACAGGAAAAGGAAGACTATTTTGCTAGTGGCAACCACAGCAAGAGGTGCTAGAGACTTGCTGTCTCAGCTTCTCTCCAGGAGACTGTGAGGCACAAGTTTGGCCTGGGGAAATAGGAAAAGAGACGCCTGGGTCCCTGTCACTCAAGTATTTCTCTTCCCAGATGAAAGGTCCCTCTGTACAGTCTTTGCGGCATCTTACCATGGACTGGCAGGTACACATAAATAGATAAATATATACATATGTCCCCAGGCAGAAAATGCTTGGTTCATGCTGTCTGAAGGAGAAAAAGCAGCATTCACTGTAGTCAGCCTTTGAATTTAATTTACTTAGATAATTAAGTAGCGCTGCCACTGTGTTTGCAGTATCCATGAGTAAATGGAGTAAAGAAGTAGAATACGCAAACAGTGAGGTTACAGTAGTTGGTGGTCTAAGCTAAACAGCTTTCGATAAATGGTCTTAACTGTTATTTTAGTTCTGTGGCTTCTGTATTAACACAGTGTAAAAACTAATTTCCTGTCATCAAGACTTTTTTTTGTTTGTTTAAATAGAAATTGATGAAAAAAGGAGAAGAAGCACATGTGGATCAAGGTACAGAAATCTGTTCTTAACGCTGCAGAGAAGGGGGTTTTTTTGGTGTTTCTGCATTTCTTTAATTTCATCACTAATGTAGATACACTTCAAGGACGCAAATCTTGACTTCGCAAGAAGAAAGGCACAACAGCTGTCTCAGAGAGCTTCACCATTTTGATATTTCTGTATGCGTACAGATCCATTCTGGGCAGGAGAACGAGAGACAAAAAGTTTTGTATAAATAAAAGGAGGGTTGATCATTATGAGCTTCACAGGTGCCACCAACAAATTCAGAGCCTGTTTGAGTTCCCAAGGTTTACGAGAGGAACCTTGTGAACCGCCTTCTTGCAGATTATCACAGTTTCTTGCATGTGCGTGGTAGATAATCTTTGTCTGCTCCGATGCTGCTAAATCCTTCTTAACGGAGATAAGCATATAATCCTCACTGCAGGGCCTCATCCATTTCAGAGTTGAGCAGCAGAGTTCAGTTTGGCTCCAGCCTTTCAAAAACAAAGATGTGGTTTGAATTTTCCTTTCAGGAAGAAAGAGGCGTCTCGGAACACATCATTGAATGACAATGATGGCAGTGCAAGCTTGGAGAGAGAATAAACTTAGAAAACTATAAGCAAATGAAAACACAGAGATTATGAAGAAAACTATTGTGTAGCCTTGGTTACAGTTTGTATTATTGTGAGCACCAGAAAACAAAACAAAACAAAACAGTGCACAGAACAATAATGCATTTGCAGGGTAAGATGAACTACGCACTTTCCAGTATCTACTTTATATCACTTTGACCTTACAAATACATCTTAAGAATTACCTCGGAAAAAGATACAACTCTGTCCTTCCTTTTACCTGAAACATCAAAAAGAAGCTACAACAGCTCAAGCTACACATACCTCTTTAATTGCCTCTGTGATC